GCAGTCAGATGCTTTAGGCACTATGCTACCAGATCATCTCGCAGAGAAAAAGGTATTTGAGTATTCAGATCCTCTCGGATTTTTTTTTTAAATGGCAACATAATACCCTTAACTTACTTGTGTAACTGATACATAGTAACATTTTTTGGGGGCACAAAGAAACAGAATAATATTAAGAATAACATGATGACTCCATATCAATGATATGTTCCTGGTGAAGTGGTCCAAGTTAGATTATTTCATTTTAAGATGCATGTCAGAGATCAAAAAGGTTCAGTGAAGCAGCCAGGGTAAGTAGGTGTCCACTAGGATTTGCATATGATGAGTAGTTGAAATACAGTTGCAGTGACATATAAATTGGAATTCCTAGACAAGGAGTTTTGGTTGAGAGTCACAAATGTGAAAACGATGATAAAAAGTCATCTGTATTCTGTTTTACTAAAAAAATAAAAAGGCTTTTGGTTGTGAAACTTGGTGGAAACATACCGATACTGACCAATAGCTATGACTAGTACAGCTTTCAGTTCTGTCCTTAGTTGTGTGGTTTATGACCAGCTGTCATCTTTATTTTCCCAAGCATTATGTAATGGGCACCCTGGCGGGACTTTTCTTTTTAATCATTGATTTTTGTTGTTGTTGAGAATGTACACAGCAAAACACCCCCCAATTCAGCCATTTCTCAGTACCCAGTGCAGTGACATTGATGCCATTGTTCCAATGGGGCAACATTCTCACCTGTTTTTCTGAACGTTTCCTCTACCATTAACGTAAACTGACTGCTCCTGTGGTTCCTATCCAGTCTTTTGAGTTGTGTTGTCAGCTTGATCCCATATACCAAAAAGAACTAAACTCACTGCCATCGAGTCAGATCTGACTCATAGCGACCCCTCCTTGGGTTTCTAAGGCGGTATCACTACGGAGGTAGATTGCCCAACCTTCCTTCAGAAGAGTGGCTGGTGGGTTTGAACCTCCAGCCTTCTGGTTAACAGTCAAATGCCTTATAGATCTTAAAAGAGCACAGTGTTCAGAGCAGACGTGCTTTGCTAGTTAAGCTAAACTATTGTTAGGTTTTAAGAAGACGTGCAGGTATTTTTGGATTAACGTTTAGAGGTGAGCTGAGGGCAGTAGTGCTGGGGCTCATCCGGCATATAGTTAGTGCTTTAAGTTGAGGTCTCTTCCTGCTCTGGGAGCTGCCATGGATATGTTTTCTTAAGGGGACATCACAGCATCCAACTGATGTGCAGAATTTTATTGCGAAGTGTTGGGTCCGCTGCCCCGTGCTCTGGCCCAGGCCCGCCTGAGTCCCACATCCTGGCCTTGTCCAAGAGTTCACATTATGTCTATAGTGTATTTTCACCTCCAGACTCTTAAACATCAGAGGAGAACAGAGCACCTCCCACCTCTTCCTCCTTCAGTTTGGCCTTCAGTAGACCCAAAATGGAAAGGGGTGGGAAAAAGGGGGGCAGTTGAGAAACATATCTGTGTACCTGCATTTCCTGTTTTTTCCTCAGAAACCCTGCCCTCCTCTTCCTGCAGCATGGTTTTCCCTTTTGCAAGCTTACTCGGGGACCTGAGAAGGTGGAGTCTGATTCCAGACTGACGGAGGAACAAGTCAGTGGGATAGTTCATTTAGGGAGGCTGTGGGGGTGGAAGAAAAGATTGGCAAAGTGGGTGAAGTTCGAAGGAAGATGGAAGTTGTTCTTTCTTTACTTAGTTAACTCATTGTGATTTGGGTGAGATTGTACAAAGCAGATTCGTTTTATATTCAACAGTGTATACAGTTTTGTTTTGTGATACTGGTTACACTGTGCACACTGTAACGGCTCTCTTCCCACTTCTCCTATGGTTACTCTGTGTCATTCTTGCCTGTGCATTCCTGCCTCCCTCCCTTTCTCCCTGTGCAAATGCTGCCCTTCTGGTCCTCCGTGGTAGATTGTTCTAAGGAGTGCATCTCCCTGGGGTGGGTGTTCAGCTTGTCGGCCTGGCTTTTGTTTGGATGAGAGTTAAGCCACTGCTGTGAGTCCAGTTCCAGGACCAAAGGGTGCCATGGGGTCATGGTCCCAGGGGTTTCACCTGTCTGTATCAGACCAGTAAGACTAGTCTTTTTTAAGATTTTCAGTTCCACGTTTTTCTCCCACTCTATCCAGGATCTGCAATTTTGATCCCTGTCTGAGTGGTTGGTAACCGAGCGCCATCTAGTTCTGGTTTCAGGGTCACATAGGCTGAGGTTCTCAAGGTCATTAGTCCTTTGGGCTGTTTCCATGTGTCTGACTTTCTTTACTCTTCTTTGCTCTGGACAAGGAGAGATAAATAGTTGATCTCAGATGGCTGCTCGCGAGCTTTAAGACCCCAGTCACTGCTCAGCAAAGTAAAATGTGGAACAGTAATGTTGCATGTCATGTTGTGCCTGTTGAGCTTGATGTCCCCTGCGACCATGGTACCCAGCCTGCAGGCCCAGCAACTCACTCCCTTACGGTGCTTCGTTGTGGCTAAGAAGTTATCACGACTTTATTATTTTTACTGGCAGTATTTTCAGCTGCTCTCATTCAGCCAGTTTTTCCAGCAGCTGTGTTCTCCCTGTCTGACTAGAATCTGGCTTGAACGAGCGCTGTTTATAAGCCCTGCTCTGTAGAACCCTGTTTTTCTGGATCAGCACGTTGATATTGTGAGCTGTCCTGTGCATTGTAGGATGTTGTGGTGGTTATGTTTGTGTGTCAGGTTGGCTGGGCCTGGTTGATGAGACTGGCAGTCAGCTCCATGGGGGGATCTACCACAAGCAGCTGAGTAGTTGCCTTTGGGATGTGGTCTGCTTCCTGTGTATGAGGAGAAGCCTTGGGGACAGTCTCTAGCATATGGCACGTTTGAACCCTGCATGTAGCCGTGTCATTGTTCAGCAGCCTGCTGTGCTCTGCCGACCTTGGGACTTACAATGGACTTGAATTAATGGCCTCTCGTGTGGTTTGGTAACATTGGGATTCTGCCTTTTTACTGTCAACCTTGGGCTTGTCAGTGTCAGCAGCCAGCAGCTGAGTGAAGAAAAGCCTCAAGCTTCAGTGGGCTGGAAGCTGGAGGCAGAACTGAAGCCCAGTACTTTGAATTTGGACTTAAAGCCTCCAGATTGTAAGAATAAACTCCAGTTTATCTCATTTGTGGTTTATTCTTGTCAGAGCAGCCCTAGGGAACCAGAACAGAGGTGTAGCGGCGTTCCTGGTCCCCCACCCTCTAGATATCTCCAGAGACTGCCAGATACCTATCCCCTGGGGAGCAAAGTCACCCCTGGTTGAGAACCCCTGCTCTGAAAGAAGGCTTCAATTCAGGGTCCTGGCTGACAGCTGATTCGAACACTGCGTCACACATGCGCTTGTTTTCAGTTAGTGGATCCTAGAAATAAAGACCTTTGTGCTGAAGCAGGCTCGTAGTGGTGGAACCTGAACAGAGCCTGTGACTGCGGCTTGATGTCCACATAAGGATCAAGGTCACTGACCCTTGTGCGCCACGTGTCTGCAGCTCTTCAGGGCAGGTGTCCCCAGGAGCACACCTCAGTGTCAGGCTGCATCCGTCTCATGCTTCTGGTGGCATCAGCCCTTCAGACTGTAGGCAGCGGTTGTGATGGTGATCCAGGGACTGGAGTTCCCTCTGGCTGCCCAGGTATTTACCCTGTGGCCTTTGACAGTGTCTCATTCTGGTCCTGTCTGGACAGCAGATTGGTTTTTATTCAGCTGAGTTAGGGCTAGGTGGCATCTCAAGGTCGTTGCAGTCGTTGGAGATGCTTTATAACACCCCGAGCTTAGAACTGGCAGGGACTGTCTTATGAGAAACACCACATGTGTCAAGCCCAGTGCGTCAGAAGGCACGTACGTGATTATGAACCCTGCAGAACAGTTCAGTCCCTTCAGCCACGCCAGTCTGCAGACGGAGTCACATATTGTTCCTCTGACCGTCTGTCCAGCTGCAGCTTTTCATTGTTCACACAGATGCCAGCGTAGTTAGACTACCGCGTCCTTGTCCACATGCTATTGTAATGATATAATGATGGAAGTGGAACATTGAATTATACTGAGAGACTGGCTACCACGGTACAGCAGCAGCAGCCTGTTCCATCCTTGATGCTACTGTAACTTGTTAAGCCTCGGGATAGGCCACAAAATGACTTAAAGCGAGTAGTTAAGGTTTGAAAAAAAAATGGCTAGAGGGAAGCGACCCTCTGCAGTAGGGCTCTGGACTGTTAGGTGGCTAGTGCTGAGGCTGTCCCTGTAGCATGGCTTCGTTCCACTTGAATTCTTTAGCAACCAGAAGTGATTTCAGAATGGTAGGTGGTGTGTGTGTGTGTGTGTTGGGCTCCTCTCATATGTGTATTAAAATTCCTTGGATAATACAGTTTTGTATGCAGTTAGGAGCAGTAATTAGTTATGGAGAGCTAATTATAGCAGGGGACCTTAAATATACAGTACTTTTTTCCCTTTGTTTTTATTTTTCCATCTGACGCGGGGCTCAAGCTATCCCCTTGCGTGTATGTCTGTGGCTGCAGTTCCCACTATTGTGAACCTCCCTCTGTTGTGACCCTCGTGTGATAGTCTTGTTAGCCACTGCAGAGCCCGCCCCCAGCTCAACGGCGTCCCCGTCCTGCGCCCTGATCACTTGTGGATCCACAGATATTTCAGGAGTAGATCACCAGCCTTCCCTCCTAGTCTGTCTTAGTGGGAAGTTTAAACCAAACCCACTGCCATCAAGTTGATTCTGACACATAGGGACCCTACAGGTCAGAGGAGAACTTCCCCACAGTGTTTCCAAGGCGGTAAATTGTCACACAAGAAGACTGCCTTATCTTTCTCCCACAGAGCGGCTGGTGGGTTTGAACCCCCAGCCTTTTGGTTAGCAGCCCAGTACTTTAACCACGGTGCCAGCAGAGTTCCTCCTTAGTCTGGAAGCTCTGCTGAAATGTGTGGTAGTGGATTTGTCATATAATGTTTTTTCCTTTCATTTTTTAATTTTTGAAACAGGGGGACAGCCTCACAAAAGGAGAAAGACCTCTGATGCAAACGAAACGGAAGATCATTTGGAATCTTTGATATGCAAAGTTGGAGAAAAGGTACATTCTCCCATAGGCGCCTGTGCTGGCTGTGGGGACGTAGGGTGGAGCAGAGGAGAACCCTGCTACTGACAGCCATGATCCACTCTCTGGGTGTAGCTGCTGTGACCACGCATCTGTATCCCATATTAAGTGAATATAAAAACCCCTTGGATGCATATAATTGAGAGTTGAAAGTTTCTGATAATTTTCCTGGTCCTCTGGATTGGTAAGTATAGAACCAGCCAAGTCCTGGATATTTAAGGTGGTTTGCACAGTTGTACAGTGAGTTGGTAAGATGCACTAGAGCCCAGGGCGTCCTCCCTTTGCTAGTGTTTTGTCTGCTATGCTAGTTCCTTTTTAACGTCATTCATTCTCTTTTCGGGGGTTTCTCAAGAGCAGGAACCGCATGATTGGTTTAGCCTAGCCTGTGGCCGCACCCTGTATCTCTGACCTCCCCTCTCGTTACCTTCTGGAATGCCATTGAGTTGGCCGGTGGCTGAGCGCCCCACAGGGATTCCCTTCTGCTGTCCTCCCCAGAGTGCCTGCTCCCTGGAGAGCAACCTGGAGGGCCTTGCTGGGGTTTTGGAAGCTGACCTTCCGAACTACAAGAGCAAGATATTACGGCTGCTCTGCACAGTGTATGTATGCCAAAGATGTCTGCCTCCAGGTGATGATGTATTATCTACTCTCACATCCTTCGGGAAACACTTCCTTCCGGGGCGGGGGGGAGGTGTGTGCAATGAGATGACCTTTGGCCCTCAGGGGACTCTGTTCCCTAGGAATAAATAAAACTAAAGTGGATGTTTTCCTTAGGTTTTGTTCTTGGAATCTTGGAATCCTCTAACTGGTTTTAAATGAGAGAGTAGACACTTTGACACATGGAGAGTTTTTTAAAAGCATGTATATTTCAATAAATGAGAACTTAACTTGCGTTGTTTAACCAGTAGTCCCAGACAAATTTGAGAACTGGTCAGTTGTGGTAATAACCCATCTCTGAAGACGTTTTGCTCTTGGAACTGCTGATGGGCAGAGTCTTTCTGAGTTAGGTTGCCCAGAACAGGTATCAGCATTTAACCTGTGAGGAAACAGAAGTGGGAAAAGTCCCACAAGAAATCAGGAAGCCGTCCCACCAAGTGGTGTGTCACCCCGCACACAGACAGTGAGCTCTCTGGTGCCTTCTGGTTTGACAGCATCGTGAACATGAAAATTATGAGCATAAATAGAGCAGCATGTATGCTCAAGCTGTGGTGGAAACCTTGACTGCTACTTCATTTTTAGTTTTTCAAGTTTAACTAGTACTGCTTGGAAGAAGATCTGGTGATGTAATACCTAAGACAAACCAGAGGGCTGGTGGTTCAAACCCACCAGCCACTATGCGGGAGGAAGACTGGGGAATCTACTTCCATAAGGATTTACTGCCTCGGCAACCCAAAGGAGGTTTCGACTCAATGTCAGTGAGTTTGGTTTTTGGTTTAGTATTGTTTGGCAGGATTCTTTTTTAAATTTTGGTTTTGGATAGGTTTGGGGGGGCCTGGTTACCATCAGTATCAGTGTTTTTTGAAGCTCACATTGCCCCTAACAACACTTGCTAGATGCCCTGGGAAAAACAAGTATAAGAGGGTCTAGTCCCCTCCTGTATTATTATGGATTTTATTTGCTTTTCTTTTGGAGCTAATTTCTAAAGGCCACCTAAAAGAAGCAATATTTGCTTTTTCCAAACATTAAGGTTTATTACTGTGGTCTTCTTCCCGACTTTTCAAATAACTGTAATGAAATTAATACACTTGGAGCAAGCAAACTGAGATGTACAGAAACCTTATTTGAGGGTGCCAGGTTAAGTCTTCAACAACCTAGCTGGCAGGAACTTAGTTGAAACTGGTTTTAATTCTGTATCTTTGCAAAGCAACTAGAATAGTGCTTCTCAAAGTGGAATTCTGGTCCCATGACATTTGGTTAACTAAGGTTAGAAACACTACTGTATCTTCGTAATGATTCTGCATCAAAGGAATACTTGTTTCTGTCAGCATTTCCCAGCCATTTTACCATGGAAACTATTTTCCGTGGAAGCGTGTTCAGTTCCACTAAATAAAAGTGGTATTAAAAAAACTGGTTTGTTGTTGTTGTTATGTGCCATCGAGTGGGACCTGACTCTTAGCGACCCCTCCTTGGGTTTCTGAGACAGTATCACTACAGAAGTGGATTACCCAGCCTTCCTTCCAAGGAGTGGCTGGTGGGTTTGAACTGCCAGCCTTCTGGTTAGCAGTCAACTGCCTTAGGCACTATGCTACCAGTGATACTCATTTTAGTTCGATAATGTCACAGTTAGAGTGTTTTGCTTTATTAACTCCTGGATTATCTATGTAAAGGAAAAATTGTGGGTGGCATGTCTTCAACTCTTCTCAATGACATTGATGCCTTTACTGAAGTAGTTTCAGAACACATTTAACAGTAGTCCTGTTCCAAAGATCATGAAATGATAAAAGGTTTGCATCATTTGAAGTTCAGCAACCTAACATAATGTCATTGTTTTGGGGTTTTCTTGTACTGGGTTCTCAAATCAGAGCACGTCTGTTACCTGAGAAGTTGACAATTTATACAACATTAGTTGGACTGCTGAATGCCAGGAATTACAACTTTGGTGGAGAGTTTGTAGAAGCCATGATTCGTCAACTTAAAGAATCGTTGAAAGTAAACAATTATAATGAAGCTGTGTATTTGGTGAGTTATTTTTTGGGGTTATTATGAGTTAGCGTTAGAATGGAGGGGGAGGTGAACTGCAACCAGATGATTTCTGTTGGAGTACAGTCCCCCCATCACCCCAGCAGCCGCTGTTGGGAACCGTTCCCAGAGCTGTGGCCTTGTTCTCGCTTGGCACCCCAGCCGAGCCCCTGCACCGTGTGCGTTTTGCACAGGCGCTCCTCCTCCTCGGCTGGCAGCCCCTCTTTCCCGGGCCTGCTGCAGCCCCTTCCTTTCACTCCGCAGCTCCTTTTACTGATCAGCTTTGCCCCTTGAATGTTGTGTCTCCCAGAATTCTGTCCTCACTTTGCTTCTCTTCAAAGCCCTCCTGTTAACGTTCTCTCAGCTTCATAAACCACCTTTGCTTTGGTGGTCTCCAAACCGATAGTCTTTGTCTCCAGCTTTGCTTTCTGCTGCCCGGGTGACCGTCAGCTGTTTGACTTTGCTTTCTGCCTCCCCCCATCCCCGTCCACATGACACCCATCCAGCAGCCACTGTCTACAGGGTAGCCCATATGGAAACTGAGAATGAGTTCTATCACCCCTTTGCCCTCTCATGACTATAACCGCCCCCCTTCAAGCACCATCAGGTCGCCTCGTAAGGGTCTCATAAATCTGTCCCTTGTCTTTGTCACCACACCCTCCAACGCAGTGCACACCTTTCTCCCCGTATTCTCTGTAGCCTCTTAACTGGTCTTGTTTGCATCCAGACTCTCTGCCTTTCACTTTATCTTCCATAGTGGCACGAGAGTGGTCTTTTCTATAACGTGGCTCTGTTCATGTTGAACTCTTATTATCAAAACAGAAATAAGTCTTACTTGTATTTGATATATAGATTGACAGTGGTCGGTTACATTATAAATCCATATACGTGTGTCGGAGGTGTATAATCGAATTCTTTTTTACTGATAGGAGTACAAAATCAAAAGAGTTGGGACACCCCTCGGGCTTTAGGGTTAGGTCCAGACTCCTTAGCCTGACGCTTTGTGGTGGCCTGATGTGTTCCTCCTTTGCCTCCCACACGTCTTCTAGCCTTAGCAGGATCCCGGGCAGGTCCTGAGCGCACCTTGTGTTTATGGCCCTCTGCCCAGGATGTCCTTGCTGCCCGCTGAGGGGAGCTCTCTCCTTGAGGACCTCGCCCAACGGTTCCTCCTTTATGGTGCTTTCCCTGCCCTCATCTCTGTTCCTGAATGCTTTGTATTGACCTGGTAACATAGGCGCCACCCCTTTGGGTCGAGGTTGGGTTTGTGCACTGAACTGTGAGCTCCGGCCTCCCACAGACCTCAGCAGTGCTGAGCGGTGGCACAGGGTAGACACTCTGTCTGGGACTTTGCGTTCCTGTGGTCCCGTCAGAATGTGTTCATAGCCAGATGGAACAGGAGCCTGAGCGTTGGAGTGGCTGAAGTACTTTGACCGGCCTCCTTGGTCTGGAAGCCTGTCTCCCGCATGTCGGCTCTGTCGCAGCTCTTGGAGCTGTGCTGCCGTCGCTCCACAGCTGCCCTGGACGGTGTGCGAACGAATGGCCACAGCTGTGTCCCAGTCAGAGTTCATTTATGGAACTGGAGCTGGAGTTGCATATGATTTGTATGTGTCATAAAATTACTTGATTGATTTTTTTTAAGCATTTAAAGATCTAACAACTTTTTAATTCACAGACTGCAAAAACCAGTGGGCTAACTTTGGCCCTTGGGCTGTGGTTTTTCATACCTCTGGTTCAGACCATTATAGTATTGCTTTGTTTTGTAATTTTTATGAAGGACAGCATTTAGGTTTTAATAGCAGAAATTGTTTTCCCCAACAGGTCCGTTTTCTGTCTGATCTTGTGAACTGTCATGTGATAGCCGCCCCGTCAATGGTGGCGATGTTTGAGAACTTTGTCAGTGTGACTCAGGAAGAGGATGTGCCTCAGGTAAGTACCGGTGATGCTGAGTCGTGTCCATATGGTAACAAGAATTGGTTACTAGTTTCCCTTAGTGGAGTGCCTGAGTGTGCGAGCAGTTAACCCTGGGCTATTAACTGAAGAGTTAGTGGTTCGAACCTACCCAGAGCCACATCAGAAGTAAGTCCTGGCAGTCTGTTTCCAAAAGGTCATGGCCATGCAAACCCTGCAAAGGACAGTTGTACTCTGAAACACATGGAGTCACTGTGAATTGGAGTTGAGTCCACAGCAAATGGATTGGTGGGGAGGGGCCTTTGGTTATAAAAAGCTGAAATGTATTTGCCCGCCATAAACCTTGAATATCTATCAGTGTCACACTGCGGAGCCTGTGACATCTGTGTGTCCGTTCAGATGCTTCTGTCCCGTGAGATTAGGGTCGATGCATCTAGAATCACTCGGAGGAGCCAGATGTCTGACATAAGCCCCGTTAGCTTGCATAGAATAAACAAATGAAAACTGAGGAGCACATGCTTTAAACTTACCTTTTGAACATTCTTCAGGTGCGACAGGATTGGTACGTGTATGCCTTTCTCTCGTCTCTGCCCTGGGTTGGAAAGGAATTGTACGAAAAGAAAGATGCAGAGATGGATCGCATCTTTGCCAACACGGAAAGCTACCTGAAGTAAGGGCCGAGCTCACAGGGTTCTCTGTGGTTTAGGTAAAGCAGATCCTGACGCAGCGACAGGCATGTCACATTTTTTCTGCCAGTGATGCTGAGTCAGCGGCCCAGACATAAGCTGTAGAGGTGCTGAGGGCATTCTCTAGGTCACTGCGCAGACCTGCTGCCGTAACCCACTGAGGCCTCAGGCTGATCACGTGTGTTTGCGTCCTGTGCCACTGCAGAGGAGTTGGTGACCCAGCTCCTTTTAAGCTGTTTCTGTAGATGTTTGCAAAAGGCGTGAGCATCCTAGCACAGCAGTTCTCAGATACTGGTGTGCATACCCCTGTGTTTGTGATGTGCTCTGACCGCACCACTCCCAGTGAGGCTTGGCCATCTGTGTGTGGTGCACAGGGTTGATGTGCTTACCTGCCAACTGAAAGGTTGCAGGGTCAAGTCCACCCAGAGGTGCCTTGGAAGAAAGGCCTGGCCATCTTCCAGAAAAGCAGCTGCTGAAACCCCTGTGGAGCACATTTTACTCTGGCAGACAGAGGGTCACCGTAAGTCAGAACTGACTCAATGGCGACCGTTTGTTTTTTGTTTTGTTTTTCCTTAATTGATGTTTACAGGTGGAGAACATTGTCCTAGGACATACAATACGTTTATTTCATGAAGCTAATCGAAAACCACATCCTTAAAACAGTGGTGGTTAACCTCCTGTCCCAGCCTACAACATGAGTAGGATGGCACATTTCAATTACAGTGATCCCTTTTCTTCCCATTTCCCTCTTCTAAGCCAGTGTAAAGGCCAGGTTTATTTTATTGGATGGAAGACTAGTAATAGGCCTTTTTGTAAACTGTTGCTTAATTACCAAGCAGCATGGTGATGGTGGCGTAGTCTGTTAGTTTTGTTAGAAGTTCTGTTTTCCACTTATTAAATGGTACCTCTTTGCCTATACTTAATACCTACTTGATAACAAGTTAGAAGATGTCTCAGAAAGAATCTACTGATGATGTATAGTATATTGTATGACTATGTCAAACTGCCTTTACGTGCTGCGTTTCTAATGTCGTTTTAGTTTCCGAAAGGCACACTGCTTTAAAAGGATGTTTGCCAAAGAAGCTGGAGGGAAGCATGAGCCCCCTTTTGCTTCAGGTTCTCGTTACCCAGCTCCCCACCCCTGCAGCAGCCGCTGTGCGGGTTTGTCTTTCAAAGATGGGACGGGAGCCTGTCAGCATTTGAGTGTGTGTCACCCCACTACCGTTTGGTAGAAAGGCCAGGCCAGTACACACTGTTCTGCACTTTGCTCTTTACTCTTTACTGTGACCTGGACTTTGTTGCATGGAAGCACGCAGCTCTGCCTCCCTTTTTAACAGCCATATACTGTTCCATTGCTGCAACGCGCCATCATTTCTTTAACCAGCCCCTGCCGGTAGATAGTTCTAGTCTTGCTGTGATAAACAGTGTTCTGATAAACGTCCCTGCACAGATGGGCTTTATATTTGTGGGCATGTGAATTCTTAGAAATGGCATTGCAGGGTTGACAGTGTGACAGTCCAATCAGATTGCCTTTCAGGGAGATTATTATACCAGTTAAGCCAGCAATGTTTGAGGTGACATATTTCCTTACATTTGATAATTTATCATCAAAACTTTGGGTATCTGCCAATCTTGATAGGTAAAAAAGTTTATTTCATTGCTTTAATTTGCAGTTTATTAATTTTGAAAGCAACTGAGCATCTGTTCTTGTTTTTAAAAGCCTAAATGTAAATTGTCCTTTTTATCTTTAGGAGACGCCAAAAGACTCACATACCTATGTTACAAGTATGGACTGCTGATAAGCCACACCCCCAGGAAGAGGTAAAGGGATTTCCGTTTTAGTCTCTTGTGATACAGGCCCAGACAATCCAGAGGAAATTCTTATCTTTGTAACATGTTCAAATCACTCATTTGTACACCTTAGCCAGTTCCCACCTGTCGTGTCAGGGCTCCAACTGTCATAGCACCAGGCATGTAGTGGGGTTTTGAGAAAAGTTCTCTTGTTCTCTGCATCCAGGTATCATGCAGTTGACATGTTTTTATAACTTAATGTCAAATTTGAGAAATGTAAGTTAAATGCCCCAAACAGATAGCAATTAATTAAGACAGAAGCCTAGCACTATTCCATTGTCCTGTATTTAATCGCGTATTTAGTAATTTAATCCCATATTTAATAACGTATTTAAGTTAGCTTATTTATGTATTTTAGAAGATAGAGACCTCTGTTATTTTTCTGGTCAAAATGTTATTTCTTCTAGCTTCCAAATACATATTAATTATTAAAAATTAATCTGTCTTCAGTATTTAGATTGCCTGTGGGCCCAGATTCAGAAACTGAAAAAGGACCGCTGGCAGGAACGGCACATCCTAAGACCCTATCTTGCCTTTGACAGCATCCTGTGTGAAGCACTACAGCACAACCTGCCTCCCTTCACTCCCCCTCCTCACACGGAAGACTCTATGTACCCGATGCCAAGGGTCATCTTCAGAATGTTCGACTACACAGATGACCCTGAGGTATGAGACCACCCAGTGGGTCCTGTCACGGGTCTGCCTGCCATTGCCCTTGGGGTTGGATCTCACCTGAATTACGCCTGTAATGAGTGTTCGCTTCTAAGAAGGTCAATGGCAATGAGTACTTTAATTCAGCTAATAGTATCATCTCATATTGTAGGATGTGTTTGTATTTACCGTGTGTAAGTAGACTAAAACATTGTGTCCTGCTGAAGTGTGGAGATGTGAGAGCCAGATCGATGTAGGCTTTCTCCTGACTTAGCCGGATACTGGCTGTGTGGTCTTCAGTGAGTTTCCTGAAGGAGTAAGAACAGTTTGATAAAACTGCTGTGAGGATTGAATTATTAACACAACGCGAAATGCATGGAGTTGGGCCTGGGCATGACGAGTGCTCGGTCATTGTCAGCTGTTACTCTGCAGTAGGTTTCAGAGATTTTCCTTCTTTCCAGCCCTCACATCACATCTTAAGTTATTATCTGTGTGTTACATTACTATTTTTAAGTCAGTGTTAAAAAGTGTTTTCAGTTAAACCCCATAGATTGCTATAAAGTGACTCTATACTTTCTGGTATATGTGTTGTTTATTATGGAGTCCAGAAGTTGGCAGCCACTGTATTTAATAATTAAGAAAAGACATAATTTTAATGTTAATATTTGATATAAAAATACAGATTGTAAGCGTTTTAGTTACTTTCTGCCTCTGCACGAGTTTTGGCTCGTCATTTCAGTAGCTGTGCAACGAGCACAGTGATGACTGGAGGGCCTGCAGTTTGCCTGAGTTGTCCCCAGATGGCGTGGCGTGGGGGCTCTCAGCCTCAGGACAGCTGGTGTTTGGAGCTGGGTGGTTCTTGTCACGAGAGGCTGTCTTATGTACTGTAACGTGTTTACCTCGTTCCTGGCCTCTGTCTGCTAGTGCCTGGAGCGCTCCCCACTACCATCACTCAGTTGTGACAACCAACCATGTCTCCAGAGATTGACACATGTCCTCTGAGGGGCATCTGAGAACCCATGACGGGAAGGTATTGATTCAAGAACCTGAGGTCCGATTTGAGTATTCTTGCTCATGCCTTCTCTTCAGTCTTGTGGTACCGTCAGAGTGCATGACCAGTGAGAATTTAGTGTGTGTGTAATCTCCCTCAGGATAAAAGGTGCTCAGATAATGGGTTACATATACAGCATTCTCAGCTCCCACTGTGCCATGCCCCTTATACAGTAAGATACTTTCAACCAACATTATGTGATAGACTAATTAGGTATATCTAACTGGACAACTTGTTGTTGTTGTTATGTGCTGTCGAGTCGGACCCAACTCATAGTGAACCCCCTTCCAAGGAGTGGCTGGTGGGTTTGAACTGCCAGCCTTCTGGTTAGCAGTCAAGTGCCTTAGGCACTAGGCCACCAGAGCTCCCAACTGTACAACTAGTTTACCTTTTGGATTGCTGAAGTCTTTGTATTCGCTATTTATTTGTGTCGGGGCGACTGGGGTGGGACCTTGAAAGTTGGTTCACCTGTATGTTTAAGGTTGGTGTTGCCTCTATAGCATATCCATTCTTCTTTTGCCAGAAGGCCATAAATAAATGTAGTATTTATTCCTCTTAAAATGGAGAGGATGTGTTGTTTCATTCTGGCCTTTTTTTTAAAAAAATTACAGAGAAGAGTTGAAGAGTCTGTTATATACTCTCTGAACCTGTTTGCCTTGCGTGTTTTCAAAAAAATTTTAAAGCACTATCATGTAGGTAGTACTTTGTAACTCTTCGAAAACCATGTATTATGGACATCTTTCAGTGATTCTTTATGTCTGTGTTTTAACCATGTTCATGGTTAAAATCAACTGTATAAGACTCAGAAACCCAAGGAGGGGTCACTATGAGTTGGGTCCGACTTGACGGCACGTAACAACAACAGCAACAAAAAAGGACTATTAATATAGAAGAATTATTTAGTTTGTTTCAGATAATAGTTGATACGTGCAGTGGTGGTGTGGGGTGGGATGTGGCAGCAGTTGATTCATGCAGTGCTGGTATGGGGTGGCATCTAGGAACAGTTGATATGTGCAGTGGTGGTGGTAGCATGTGGGAACAGTTGATATGTGCAGTGCCGGTGGGACGTGGGAACAGTTGATATGTGCAGTGGTGGTGGTAGCATGTGGGAACAGTTGATATGTGCAGTGCTGGTGGGACGTGGGAACAGTTGATATGTGCAGTGCTGGTGGGACGTGGGAACAGTTGATATGTGCAGTGCTGGTGGTAGCATGTGGGATGTAGTAGGGAAAACACTGAAGCTGCTGCCTGCACTCCTTATTTTGTTGTAGCAGCAAGTGAATCTTGTATTGAAATTTGCTGACTACAGACCCTTCACTTGTGAGAACTCTGTCCGTGGCACCCAGTGCAGTGGTACTGCTGGTGGACAGGAGGCTCTCAGATACTGGTCACATCAATGAGCAAGCTCACTTTCTCAGTCTGTCCGGGTGCCATTTTGGTGTCTCCCAGGGTCCCGTTATGCCTGGGAGCCATTCAGTGGAAAGGTTTGTGATAGAGGAGAATCTCCACTGCATCATCAAATCCCACTGGAAGGAGAGGAAGACTTGGTAAGATGACTTACACGGCGTCTCCAGGGGAGAGGGGGGTTGCTGGTTTTGCTGTGTTGGTCTGAACAGCGTAATGTGTAGAGACTCTTAAGAAATTCCCCCTCTCTGCCTCCCTGGGTCATGACCAGTGTCTAAAAGCACTTGTTTTACCTTCCTGGGGCTCTTCACCATCCAGTGGTACTTTTCCGGGTGCTCTAGAACAATGTGTATATGATGCAGGCTTTTCTGTGTAGAGACAATCATATTTTCTAAGATCTGGGAGGGTTTTGTTTTAGATTTTACAGTGGAAAGGAATATAGTGTAGATCTAATGCATTTCTTTCATGCGTTTCTATCATTTAAGCTCCCTTGATCTTAAAGGATTTTAAAGGATCTTCAAGGAGATTTGGATGCATTGAAAAGATTTTCCTTGTAGAACATGATAATTTGTGCCCTGGTTAAGTGAAGTAATTGAAATACGGAAGATTTCACAAGAAGTTTTTTGTATCTAAACACATTGCTTTCGAACCTGCTTGTTTGTGTCCCTGTTAACCTTGAGTTACTCTTGTTGCAGTGCTGCACAGCTGGTGAGCTATCCGGGGAAAAACAAGATCCCCTTGAACTACCACATAGTTGAGGTACGCATTCCACACACAGCGTGTTTCTGTTGCAGGATCTCTCTGGTGGCTTGAAAGTTAACCCAGTCTTGCTTTTTTTTTTTCTTGCTACTTGTCAGGCACTGAAAGTTAACAGAGGAACAAGGAACTTGCTGTTGGGTTTTTGGTACTCTGTTAGCCAAGCTAGTAAAGGAAAAGAGGAGGTGGAAACCAGTAGCCCCAGTGGAACGTTGAGTCACCTGTATGTTATTTATGTGGTGTGCCTTGGTCACGGATAGTTATCACGGATGGTGTGAGTTACCCCCAGCTCTGTGGCACATTGTCCACATAAAACAGTGTATCACTGGCTTAAATACTTGTAAAAGCTGGATGCTTGAGCAGATAACCAATCTTTACCTGTGGTCACCTGAGGTGTTGTTATCAGCATCCTCCTGAACGTGTTATTCCCTGTGTCACAGGTCTGGGTACTTACGAATCCTTACTTATTCTCAGGAAGCAAAGGAGCCAAATGGTTTGCAAGTAGGAAGAGCAGAAATGCTTTTGACTCCATATTAACTCATGTTTGCAAGTAGGAAGAGCAGAAATGCTTTTGACCCCATATTAACTCATGTGACAAAACGATATGAATGTACTGCTGAGTGCCTTACAGAGATTTATGTCCCAAAATACAGGATTTTCACTTGCCTCATAGGGATATAGTTTGTCAGACTGTTAACTGTGTTATTCCTTTGTGTTCAAGTATTCGTGAAAGAGAGCACATAGGTAGGATGTGTTATGAGTCGCTTTATTCATAAAGCATTTGAATGCTTTTTAAAAATACTTTTTAAAAAAGTCCTGCATCCGTCCTGTCTTTATAAAACTTGAGAACATACTTAGGCTGTGAATTTGACTCACTGACATGTCAGTGGAAGTGCAAGATGTGAGTCATGTTTTTTCATCTGCAGAATTTCCTCATGTAAGTACAGGAGTTGGGGGCAAGGGGAGGAAGGAGTACAGACCAGGGCTTTAGAGGTCTGGGTAGGTGGCCCACGCGTTACACAGGGAAGGTGGAGAGCAGAACACGACACGTGACGAAGAAGTCTTCGACACGTGACGAAGTCTTGGACTTGCACAAGGATATCGGGGTAACTCTTTTAAAGCTTGTGTAGCAATGTGGAGTGAGGTGACAGTCTTCTGTTTCCTGTCTTCAGAGCCTGACAGGGGTTCTTACTACTCATAGGAATGAAGTGGTACAGTGAACTGTACCTCCCTGGATCAACTTGGATACTTCCAAAGTTGAAATTTAGCTGCACATTTCTCTGTGGGTATGGGTCAAATGAGCACGGAGTTATAGAAAGAAGAACATTGTATTCCGCTGTTGTAGACCATTGTGTTTGCAAGAGCGTAACTGTAAAGATTAGAAAGTCATTCTTCATCTGAGTGCCAGAGGTAAGCGTGTAGGTCTAGTGCAACGCGGCCCTCTGACCGTGGGGGCGCCTAGGTGGCGGTTGGATGGCACCAGCTCACGGTTCTTCTCTAGGTGATCTTTGCAGAGCTGTTTCAGCTGCCAGCACCCCCGCACATCGACGTGATGTACACGACGCTTCTCATTGAACTCTGCAAACTCCAGCCGGGCTCTCTGCCCCAAGTGGTATCCTTTGTTTTTGAGCTCGCTCTCTTTGGCTGTTGGCTTTATAAGATTAACTGTAGCATTTCTGCTTGTAGGGGAGATTTGTCAGATTCAAAAACAGCTTTTGACATACATGTATGTAAACATGTGTACACGTATGTCTATAACGTTTTGTTGTTAGGTGCCATCAAATTCGTTGCAACTCATAGCGACCCTGTGCACGACAGAACAGAGCACTGCTGGGCCCTGCGCCTTCTTCACGTTCGTTCCTCACGTTCGTTCCTCGCGTTCGTCACTGTGCGTGAGCCCAGCGTTGCAGCCGGTGTGCCAGTCCATGTCGGTGGCGGTCTTCCTCCTCTTTGCTGACCCGCCACTATGTCACTATTTCGGTCAAAAGCGCCAAGAAAATACAATGAAGAAGTATTTCCGTTTTTACGAGAAGAAGAAAATGTTATATTCTCCTAAATGAACTTAGCCTCCTTTCTTAGATCTCTAGAGGTTAGATAACTCACTTGACTGGAGGAGGAGGCCAAAGGAGCCCATGTAAAGCCAGCCTTCTACCACGGACTTAGACGTACATGGGCGTCTGCCCAGGAGGATGGGAAGACTTTTGGGGTAATGGAGATATTCACGATCGCATTTCACAGGTACATAACAGGTCAGTTAAAGCATTTGGCTGCTCAGAATTCAAACCCACCAGCCGCTCCTCCAGAGGAAGATGAAGCGGTGTGTAAAGATTGACAGCCTTGGAAACCCTGTGGAGCGGTTCTTCTCTGTCCTATAGGGTTGCTATGAGTCGGAATTGACTTGATGGCAGTAGGTTTGGTTTTGGGTTTTTATACAGGTCACATTTATTGTATGTCATTGATTGATTCCTCAAAGCTATTTTAAAAATTACATGAAAAGGTATTCAGCATTATTAGTTGTTATAAAGACTTCTAGGAAACATTGTTTTTTTTCTCTGTCACAGCTGATCTTAGAAGAAGGTGAAGAATAGTTTTCCTTAACTTCAAAACCACAGCTTGCTCAGGCGACAGAAATGTTATACATGCGTTTGGACACGATGAATACTACGTGCGTAGACAGGTAACGTGTCTGCTCTGTTTCCATAGTGTCACCAGCTCCTCACTCTGCCGTATAAATAGTGCGGTCAGCAAGATACTTGCCTTTTGAAGAATTTCCAGATGGGTGTTTTTCTTGCTTGCCTCTCCAAAATAATCCATCTTACAATAACGAAGCCTACCTTTTCAAGTTGATTTTCAACATGAAATGAGGCCCATGCTCAGGTTTTTTTAATTTCATTCACTATTTAGTGCTTTGGTGTAGGTTTTTCTCTCTCTAATTTTGTGTTTTGCTTTTTAATTAGGTTGTATGATGCAGAAGAAGTTACTATAGAATACTTATATAAATTTCTATATGTATTTTTGCTTATTTATAGATAGTATGTGATTCTAAAATAATTAACTTTTACATTAAAAGTCTTTTCCAACCTACAGCTCCAAGACTCTTAGTTTACACAAAAAGCCCAGATTGGTATTGGTGGCTGTGGTGATGGGCTGCCCACTGACCTCACCTTATGGAAGAGGTCCTTATGGCTACCTGTGTCACCTGACACTCTTTCTTACTCCCCATTCAGTCTCCCAAATTGGATCGGGACACACCCTGAACATCATCCCTGTTCCCATGATCTCATGTTCATTGGTCAAACTCAGTACCTGAAAATAGTCACTGAGGGTCCTCCATGCTGTGGACTGATTATCCCAAGTAATTCCAACGGATGTAATTGGAAATGCACGAGTGCTTGCTTTTTAGGGCTGCGTCCCTGTGACTCTTCCCTCCACTCTCATTAATCGACTTCCAGCCATGTTGGGCCTTCCGATCAGGCTCTTACGAAGTTCACAGCATCGTACAGTACATGGAAGTATTCCTTGTCTCCTTAGAGACATGAGATGGGTGTTTAGGGGGGAAAGCAGCTTTAATGGTATAGTCTGTTTGTGGTGGAAAGGGCGTGGGGTAGTATGAGAGCCTGTACTATGGCTCTGAGGAGCTCTGCTGGCACAGTGGTTAGGCACTCGGCTGAGAATTGAAAGGTCAGCAGTTCAAACCCACCAGTGGTACCACAGGGGAAGGTGTGGCAGTCTGCTTCTGTAAAGAAGCCTTGGAGACTGTATGGCACAGTTCTGCTTTGTCCTCTAGGGGCACTGCGAGTCAGTCAGCTGAGCAGCGAGTCTTTATACACTACGGCTCTGCCCTTTAGAAAGTGTTTCATCTGCAGTTTCTTTCTTTGTTTTTTGGCCTCTGTTTCATTGTTTGTCAGTGTGGGGAAAATAATACATTCCTCGGAAGTTGTTGTGAAAACTAAATTATATAAACATCTGTAAAGTGCCTGATTGCTTAGAAAGGATAGCACTGTTAGAAGGAGATGCTGTGGGGCTGAGTTACAGGATTGGCACCGAAAGGGTGAGTAGCAGGGGAAGGTATACATGTGCAGGGGATGTGCTTTCCATGTGAAATAGGGGGTTTTATTTGTTGGAAGGATTATGTAAGTGCCTGTTACAAATTGTAATCATTTTATCATCTTCTGCTTGTGCCCCCTCTCTCCCAGGTTTATTAATTGGTTTTCCCATCATCTAAGTAACTTCCAGTTCCGGTGGAGCTGGGAAGATTGGTAGGTGTTGTATTGTTTTATTCTTCCTTTCTCTGGAGTCTAACATAACAAGATACTGTTCATAGTTAAAACTGTAACACGGAAGCTGTCTTCTGGCTGTCTGGTTAAAACTGTAACATGGAAGCTGTCTTCTGGCTGTCTGATTAAAACTGTAACATGGAAGCTGTCTTCTGGCTGTCTGATTAAAACTGTAACATGGAAGCTGTCTTCTGGCTGTCTGAGATAGCTGGTCTCTGGTACTTTATTTACTGTGTGTAAATGAAATGACTGAGGGAGAAGGAAACGCTTGGTCATTCGGTACAAGTTAGCTGTAAGCACTAGACTGCGGAAGAGCTTATAAAACTGTTTCCTCATTAGGTCAGATTGTCTTACTCAAGATCCCGAAAGTCCCAAACCAAAGTTTGTAAGAGAAGTGCTGGAAAAGTGTATGAGGTAAGTGCTTTGGCTTTTCTTCATAGCTCAGCTGTTCCTGTTGTAGGGCTTGTTTCTCTTCTGTGCATTTGGGATATGTGTCTAGAATATC